GCACGTGTGTTTGCGCTTAGGACGACTCAGTTCTATTGGTGTTGTGTGGATGCAAAACTAGTGCACCAGAATTGTGTACTTTCCCTGCCAACCTCTCCCCTCCCGCTCGCCCTTTGTGTGCAATTTTGTCTCATCCACTGTGGACCCCCCAGTGTGTGTACTCTTAAGATTGGGTCCATGTGAAGTGCACACCCACACACCAGTTTTTCCTTCACTGACCTCATGGTCGTGACTGATTTGTCTTATTACCTGTCTCGAATGACTTCATCGTCATCGCCCTCCCCCGCCCACCTCTCACTTCCAACTATTCCCCCAAAAGTAGCCTAACCCTTCTTTTTCTCGTTTTGATGAACTGGATACATTGATGCACACGCAAACAGAAGAGCAGACACGCGCACACGCGTGTTGTTCGCCCTCTTTTGCTGCTTTCATCAGTAATAAACACGTCCTCTCGTCGTAACCTGTGGTTGGACGCCGCATGTTCTCCTGCCGCGCACCTTAGTCTTTTAGATATTTGTTAGCTGCTCGCAGCTTCATTTTCTACTGAATTCTCCTTGATCCGTCTTGCGCACCCACGCGTGGGTAAGAGTTTAATTCACAACCCCTCCCCCTTTCTCCTTCTATCCAAACACTCACATGCAAAATAGCTTGCAGATATTCGTGCGCCCAAAAACTTTTAACATGATCTAGGTCCGTGTCTGCGTCCCCATGAGTCGTACCGTTGCACTAGAGCCATCAAGTTTCCTTATCGCCACTCCTAACGTTTGGCGTTAACCTCGAGTTTTCATAGTCAATTAAGGAAGTCGATAATCCGTAATAAAGTGTGCATTAACGACGGAATTCCCTATTGGGCGATAAGGGGCAGCCTGAAACGTTCTGATGCCCGATTTCCGACTGCTCCAAATTATAATAGGTTTACTATTATAGCATTTCTTGGGCGTCATCAGTCTACTCAGAACGCAGGGAAAGAGTGGCTTTCATCCCCTAGGCTCTTGCCTGCGTTTGGATCTTGTCACCCGTAGAAGTCCTGTATCTGCCAGCCTAAGGTCTCCATTTTCCATACCGCTTCAAGACAGTCTTGTCTAGCTGTTCTCGCCTTTATTGATGGTTTACCGGTGGTGAGTGTCGGCGCGAGGACTACGGCGTAGGACCCAACTCGATTAACGTCAAAGTGGACAACGCGGTTTTTCAACGACCCGGCAGGCTTATGTGTGACCTATGATTCCGCAAAGTGGCTGTTGTCGGCCACTTGCTTTGCCCAATGCCATCAACCAGGAGATAGTTCACTCCCGCTGGCAGTGCCTGGAGCACCAGCCTACACTCGCCGCCTCCGCCGGTGGGGAGTGGCGAAGAGTGCGGTAGATGCCGCGCAGGTCATTATGCCTGCTGCACCTTGGTGTGGAGCACAGGGTGGACATAGTCGAAATAGACGGTCGAACTGTCGTGTAACTCACCAAGATGGATGAGGTCGAGTTGGGAAGGGCGTGCACTCTTCATTTGCCTCTTGTTTGCTGCCTCTCTCGTACAGCACGTCTTCGCCCTGACCCTTCACCAACGCTGACGTCACTTAAGTATTTTTTCTCTGCCAGTCGTGGTGTCCTCGCCAAAGTTACGCCAACAAATCCTCATCTTATATGCACACAAATTATAATGTCTGCCGATCCTCGAAGACTGTCTGCACTGTCTCAGACTTGAACGGGAGCCATAATTGTGTGTAATAGGCCGTCCCGCTGTCAGTCTAAAAATGGTGTGACATACGCTGATGTGTTAGGCAGGGGGTTATGTTACATTATCCTGACTTGAAATTTTGACTGTTCTTCCGTGAAGGGAATGCTGAGACCGATTTAGACCACGCTTCTTGCTATAGTAGATCTGGCGCGTTCTAAACTCCTGGTGGATTTAAAGGCTGCCAGCTGACAAATTAACTTACTATCCTGCATGACTTTCTTGCGTGGCCTTTTTGGTGACTTCAATGAGAGATCTGAAAACCCACCGGGGGTCTGGTTCGCGTGTGTAAAGGCTAACACACGTGTGGCATGCGTTTACCCGGCTACTTCGCACGTGTCCAGTCCTGGCTTTGCCTTCCCGCTGAAACATGCTGGGTATGGAATAAGTTAGGTGCAGCACAAGTCTCCTCACTGTAAACCAACTTGCGCAATTCACCACTACACCCGCCTGGGTGGTAGACATTCACGTCGACCGGTTGCGACCTACTAGCTGTTCACTGCTTTTCTCAATACGCTGCTGACGTAGGAAAGTGACCGTGTCATTCCTCGCTTCCAACCGGTCTATTGATTTTTTATGACACCTTACCTCTTCTGATTAATTACGCTGTTATATTCGTTTTTTAGGAGTTACGTCACAATCCCCTGCTGACGCCACACTTTGTTACTGAGTGTAAATGGGAGTGAAATATAGGGGTTTCTTTTCGTATTTTGATTTGACTTGGCAGTGCTCAACGGCGTACGTCTCACTTCACCGAACCCCCAAGATATCTCTACCAGCTTATCCAACGCCGAGGAAATTAGTTTTGTAGTGTTACTCAAGCACCTTCGGTCCTCCACTAAGTTCAACTGATGCTCCACACCAACGCAGAGATATCTTTAGACTTCTCAAGTGTTTGCCTAGATAGAGCCCCACCCCTGGTGTTCAAGCTAATTTTGTCGTCAAAATGCCTTCACGAGTCCCAGGGGTCATGCCGCGCGATCCCAGCAAGGTCTTTGTTCAGGCTGCAATAGGCTCGCCTTGGAAGTCAGATCGGAGAGAATATCAATCAATTAGAACGACTGCCAAAGTTCAAGCTTTCACACCCAGTGTCATTTTGGCGGTCAACAGCTCGTCTCCGTCTACAATGAAGGTCCTCTAGCCGTTTTACTCTTTCCCATGGTCTGCTTTATTTAGCTACTAAGTTATTGCCTATAACCGTGCCCGTAAGCCCTGACCTACTTCACTTTTTAAGTTGCACTGTCTTAGCCGTGACAGGCTGACTCGCAACTTCGGTAGGCTCACCAACAGAGGGGCGATTCTGTCGCAACAGTTCGACCTTCGTGCCCGACAATGTCCATTGTGTGTTCCACAGCAATGTGAAGCAGACTCGACGACTTGTGCGTGAATTAGTTTATAGCGCCCGTAGACTTGCGTAGCACCCATCGCACTCTTACGCACACACAGAAACACAAGCAGAATAAAATTACCTAGCGCAACCTGAAGGTGACGCCTATGAAGGACATGTCCGGGAAGTTACACGAGTTTTAAGCTTCGTCGTTGATTGTGAAACCCTCTGACTATGCATACTATCTGCTACCGACGCGAGGCCTCGTGGCTAGAGGGTCCCTCTTTGCTGTTAACTGCTTTACTTTGGCTCTGGGGAGGTTTTTTAATGTCCCAGCTCGTCTGGTAGAGAGGTCTCTTTTCTGTAACTTCTATTGAAGCTATCTTCATTTACAAAGCGTGAGTTTCTTGGAGGCGTGGTGACCATAGTGATTGCTCACCCTTTAAACCTCCTTTCTTCCCTGTTCTTCGGCCACTTCTTCGGGATTCCTCGTCGACTTGGAATCCATAATAGCTATGTTCATACGGCCGGTCATTTTTGTTCGCAGTTTCATTATGGGCTTTATTACCTTTATACTGCAGTGCAGTTCGTTGTGTTCGGGGATCTTTTCAATCCGTACGACTGCACCGTCATTAGTAAAACTTCCCAGAAAGTTTGGTACAGAAAATATTGTCAGTAGTCGCTTGTCCTGGAAAAATTCATAGCCCTTCTCAATAAGTTCATTGGAGCGGATAATCTGCTGGAGTTTAAGTCGGTTGCAGAAGTCATCCACTACGGAGGCGCCATATAAGTAGCCAAGACCTGCAGGATTCTGCTCCCAGGCCTTCACTTCTGGGTCAGGCTCGGACCACGTGTAATGGGTCATGAGGATACTTGTGTGAATCTCAGTCGGTCGGGGTGTGAGCTTCATCACGTAGTCCTTCAGCTCCTGGAGGTTTGATACGCCCGAAAACTGCACGCTTGGCGACATGCCGCTGTGACAGCAAAATATCTTCTCCTCCAGGATAGCAATTAAAGGCAGGAAATCAAATGTACCAACAAAGGTTCTCCACAGTCGTCGACTGAAGCGTTTTAAACACTCGTCATAGAAGCCGTAGTGACGCGATATATGCTGACACTCGTGGTTTCCTCGAAGCAGATATATATGTTTTGGGAAACGGAGTTTGAGACAAAATAGGAGGGCAATTGTCTCAATCGATCTAGAGCCGCGGTCCACGTAATTACCAAGGCAGAGGTAACGCTGTTGAGGTGGAAATCCGAGAACCATGAGTGTACGTAGGAGGTCGCCGTACTGCCCAAAAACATCCCCGATGACGTAAATGGGTGTATCCACTTGTAAATCAACTACCAACGGCTCCTCCATAAATATGTCGGGAAGCAAGTTGCAAATATTGGTCAACTCTATCTCGGTCATTTGGGCATACTTTCCTTTGAGGACCTGGTAGTCAATAAGTCGCTTTGTAAGGTTTTCTGCCTTCTTGATCACCTCACGTCGGGCAGCAGCCGAAAAACCCGATCTAGAACCGCCATCTGAAGCCATTCTGCGCTGGGATATAGCGCCTCCGGTCTCACCTTGTCTTGAACAGATAGCCCAAGGCTCCACACACCTACATCGATCCCCACGAGTTCAAAAGGTGACCCTGCAACAGAGGACGGGACCACGTGCGTAGTCTTCAGGGCCTGCCAACGGTCCAGTCCATGGGCTACCCGTCCCCACGTCAGGAAATACAGCATGTTATTTGGTCGCGCACTGGTGGAAATAAAAGGACCCATGGTGCGAAATGGCAGTATGCAATGAACCATAACGACTGTCTTTTAAATCCTTCACCACTTTGGCCATCCGGAAAGATTTTGCGGTTTTGAATCGCTCACTTTGATAGAGCATAAGTTGGCTGAAATACAACAATTTACTTAAAATTGGCATTCCCGTAACCCTTCGGTGGTAGACATTCGAAGATGACGTTGTGGAAACAAAGGTCCTTCGGAAATCGAAAATTATTGCTCCCGATCTGTCTATTTCCAATAAGTATTGTCACTTCCAATGTACCTTCCATTTTCGTCAGAGTCCAGATCTGTAAAGTCTGTAACATGCTGGGAGTCACTTCGAAAACCCCTGTTTTTGGAAGCGTTACTCTCGGGGGGGGGGAGGTTTTCCGAAGAGCGAAATAAGTTGTCGTATGGGAGCCGCTCCGGTGGTCAATTTTCCAGCGTCTCACTGTAAGTCGGTGGTCGCATCAACCGAGTTGGGCTGTGGGCATGCCGCTGGCGCGTGGCCATCCCCCAGGCTGCGTTTGTCGGGCTGGCCCTGATTCACGACTGTGTCCATAATGAGCTGCTTTTCCCCCTACCGGCCTGGCTTGGTCAATTTGAGGCCTCGCGACCATACGACCCCAAACTAAGCCCGCGGGCCAACCATTCGTACGTCCAACACCAGTCATTCACTTGTTTACGTCACCTTGATACTAACCCCCACCCCTCAAACGACTGCCTTGATGGGACGGAACTTACGGTCTTTGGTTAAGCTGACCTGATAGCCCTGACCACGACAGTAGTCGGTTGGAGTGATATATAAACCACAGGAAGGCTCTGCTAGGACCCTGACACATAGCTAAGGCAGTTTTCAGGAATTATTCTTTGAGTCTGCTGTCTGGCATACGGCCGCTTTGGCTGACCGGTGTTAGGTGTTGTATTTGCAGGTTTTGGCGCTCCCCTCACTATGACGACTGCTTTATGGTCCGTGCACCATATCCTAGAAAAATTCAGGAGACTAATTTCACGCCGGATCCCCAAACACTGGCCAAGCTACTCAAGCAGAGGGTCAATTTTGGCGCTTATCTGGAAGTCACAGTGCTGTCGGATGACTGCAAAGAAACGGCGAAAAACAGACATTCGAGCACGTCTCCCTCGAGTAGCTGGGCTGCAATTTGTCAAGCTTCTCCTTTCTACCTATCGCACTACATGAAGTGAGGCGCCCAACTCCCTTGCTAGATTTAAGACTTGTTTTCATCGCTTCCTTTAGGAGACCGTCCACAGTACTTGATAGCCACTGGAAACGTTTAAGATGACTTAGTGTAAGGTCACTGGATTACGGGCCATAAACCGTCTGTAAACTGCGAGGGAAAGAAGGATCCAGTCAAAGACTTTTGCTGTCCTTTGTCTTCACGTGTCCCATACTTGCAGGAGACGTCCTTGATTGATAAAGCATATTTTATCCTTTGAGTGGCTAACCTATCTCAGGAAAGTGAGAAAACGCGTTGTAACAGGGAACTACCCCACGGGAAATTATCAGTCGTGGATAAACTTAAACAAACTTCGACCTACGATGTCCGTGATTACTTCAACAACTACAATGCAACTTTCAGCTCTCCTTGAGTATCTTAAGCACTTAAAACTCATGCATGTCGGCGTGATTTACTGTCTGGATGGTACATTACAGGCCTGATTCAATCTAAAGACCCGTTGTGGTACATTTCTTGAACAAAGGAGTGGCGGCTATGTTTGAAATGAAAGCCCCTCTATGTACCCACCGTTTAAGCCTCATAGTCACGTCTTCTGCGACATTTTGCTTATCTTTCGCCAAAAATGAATCAATATTAATCTCGAACTCTAAAATAACTTTACTAAGGCCTAGTATTCAGTTGTCTCGCGTGGGATGACCGATTTTACAGATAGGCTTTATTCGCTTTAATGAGCATCGTCAATTAAAGCGAAGTTGAGCCAGGTTACCGAGCAATCATCACGTCAGCATCTAACACGGATTATAATATTTCGGGATATCGTATAAATGGACCTCAAAAGGAATATTCTGTTTTACAGAATTCTTCAGGCGTCAGGCGTTGAGGACCACAGTTGTCCTGGGTAGGGTGCACGCGGGTTTGTTTATAGTTAATCGGACTGAGTCACACGCGGACGCACACACGACAGCTCGACCGTCGTGTCCGACGGGAAAACAGTTTTAATTGGTTTTGCACAAGTCTCCGGTTAGTCAGGATGCGGATGGAGCAGTTTCCAATTTTTTACCCCATTTTCCTTACGGCAGCGTCAACAAGACTGTTCCCGGTTAGCGTTGAGGTCTTTAACATATTCGAACTGAGTTCGTCCCCATTTTGAGAAATTCAAATACGGGAACACCTCCCAGCGTGGTTGCGAAAAGGCGAAATTAACAACATAAAAGACAATTCGACCGTCGCATCGGACGATGCCTACTGTGTACTCCACGGCAAGGTGAAGCAGGCGTAGTGACTTGCGCGTGATTTGGTTCACAGTGAGAATAGACTTGCGCAATAACTACCGCACTCTCTCCTCCTCCCCCACCTAGGCCCGGTGCCAAGACAGAGTCAAGAAGACCGGATACGAGGAAGGCGCAGATGGATGGCGCGGCCGAACCCGCACCTTGGCGCTCCACTCCACACCCTCGGGTTCACAACAAACACTTGACGAGGATTTTAACCAGCAACAATACATCAATGGGTCAGAAAGAGGAGGATGACTGGGCAGCCATGTTCACGACCTGTACACCCAGCGGGAGTGCATGCGCATCCACCGGCAGGAAACCAGGTATTAGGGGACTGTCATCACGCACCAGGCTGCAAGGGCCATGGTTTGCTGATCTTGGCATAGCAGGCGCTTAGCTAACTTGAAGCCCAGAAGGGTGACACGCACCTTATTAGCATGTCTTTCATGGAGTCCAAGATTCCTGACACATCTCCAATCTCTGAAGGATGGCCTTGATTATGTCTTAGTATGGTCGCAGGAAAAGGGTCTCCTAATGAAAAATCAAAAATCAGTCCAGTGTCTTTTCCGACTGCAGCCCTCTTCTAGTCGTGAATCCCTTGACTTCCTTCGCTGCCAGGTATCCTATTTCAGGTACCTTGGCGCTAATTTGGCATCAAATCTTTCGTTTTCCCTTCATACTGAGCTCCTTTTCACTAAAGTTCGTAAACTGCTTTATTACATTCGTCGTCTACCTTCCTGCCACACACCCCAACCCCTAATCTGGCGATTCATAGATGCCTGCCTTCTTCCTCTTATTCTTTATTACTCTCCTGTCATTTTTACTGTTTTGTTCAAAAAGGATCTGTTAATCTTAAAACGAGTCCTCCGAATGCTCTCTTCTGCTGCCTGTGTTTCTTATCTCTTTTTAGTCAATATTATCCTACAACGAAATTTCAAAACGGTCGAGTAATTTGCTGGTCGAATCCTGGATGACGTTGCCCATCCCCTGCATTCTGATTTAATCTCTGTGAAGTCTTCCCCCCCCCATGCGCCGTTGCTTTCGACTTATCCCTTGTCGTACATCGGCATATCAACATTCAGTACTGCCATTCCTGGAGCGCTGTCTTACGTGTGACGAGGCGGAAATACAGAAGCTAAGACTGGGACTGTACCCCTAATAGTCGTTTCTTTATGTATAACAGTTTTTTACTCGAGCAATTTATTAACTCATTTTCTGTCCACAGTTAATGGGGCCTATTTTTGCTGAAAATTTTGAATTTATAAGTTTGAATTTATAAGTTCCTCTCTCTCTCCCTCCCTCCCTCTCTCTCTCTCTCTTCTAGCCTGAGCCATCACCCATCCAGAGGCAGAGTAACAAGTCAGACGTAGAGTAAGAGGGAGTATGCATACAAAACACCCTCCTCACATGCGTGAGAGCGCCATAGGTCACTTTAAGAAGGAGCAGTGGCAGTCTGACTCTCAGCCAACCAGTCCGCCACTCCACACAAAGAGACACAATTGGGCAGACTGCGTGGGCTGAATGGAGGCGTCAGTGGGCAGCTCTCCAATCCACGGGGCTTGGCTCACCGTAATAGTCTCAGACTCGGATCACGCATGCAGCAGAGGAGTCACATGATGAAGGAGCCACGAAACACACTTTCCACTTGTGTAGGAGGTGGCAATTGAGTCCCTGAGTTGTGTGGTGATGGGTAATGTTGTGTGGTGCAGGTACTGGCGCGGGACTGTTTGATGGCGTTGTATAGTCGGCGGTTATCTACCAGAGGTTTCCATGAATACGCATGTGACCTAATAATCCCATTTGGTGCATGAATGTGCAGGGGCAATGGAGCAGTTGAAGCGGATGGAACGAGTGTAGGTTGGTACTCCTGGCACTGGTTCGCCAGCCCCTGTGCGATAGATTCGTAAGTGACCGACCAGACCGATGCGTGAGGTAAACGTGTGATCGCAATGAGGACAGGTTTAGACCGAGTCCACATCACTGGCGTTGGCGGTGGTGAAGTCAATGTTTGAAGGTAAATCAGGATTGTGTGCAGTGGTGGCGGGAGCAGGAGCCTCCGCAGCAGATGATGAGGCAGTGGATGACGGCAAAGGAGGATGAGGATCTCGGTTAGGGTTAATTTTCGACGTGGAGGCACGAGGCAGAGGTGGCGTCGTTCGTGCTATGTATGTAAAACGGGAGATTAATTGTAAGCAGGACGTGTACTGGGTACGAGAGACAGCACAAGTGAAGAGGCTTGTCGAAACGGCTAGGTATATGGCAGTGAGGTAATGCCACGGGCTGAGGGATGGCCAATTAGCACAAAG